TTCTCCCAAACACGCACATTTCTCCTGGGAGTATACATTTTATGGCGACAGACAGAGGAGCACTGTGACTTTGCTTCTCATACCATCAATCTCTTCAGCATCCAAACAGCATTCAGGCCATTCCATGCCTTTGCCCCAGCCATGTCCTGCTTTGGAGTTTTCTGTTTTCACTTAAGTGGCTATTATTCTGGAGCCTGGTGCACTCCCAAACACGCACATTTCTCCTGGGAGTATACATTTTATGGCGACAGACAGAGGAGCACTGTGACTTTGCTTCTCATACCATCAATCTCTTCAGCATCCAAACAGCATTCAGGCCATTCCATGCCTTTGCCCCAGCCATGTCCTGCTTTGGAGTTTTCTGTTTTCACTTAAGTGGCTATTATTCTGGAGCCTGGTGCACTCCCAGCTCACTGCTAGTCTCCTGATTATTGGCTCTCTGCCACCAACACTCCTCACAGCCTATCTCCCCTTTTGTCTTACCCTTGGAGGGGCTATCTCTCTCTAACACAGGGATCTTAAACTCCAGGCCCCGGGAACCTTCTGCGGACCAAGCACTTCCCCAGTCCGGCCTGCAAAATATTTTGAAAAAGTAATTTAACTGGACCCATGAGGTCCCAGAGTGATCACAGCTTATAATAGGGCAGGAGGCATCAGGTAGTGAAGTTCCCAGATCTGGCTTAATTCTAATAACGTGGCTGAAGCTTGCCAGGAAAACAAAAAGGCCCAGTTATCAGGAGGCTTGTGAGTTGGCATCATTGATATTGAGTCTGTTTCATAACGTGCATTAATAGTTTCACAGCTTACACCTACAGACGGAGAAGGCTCCACACACACCTTCCCCGGGCCCCACGGACGTACTGGCAGTGGCATGGAGCTAGCGTCCTGTTGCTAAGTTAGGGCCCTTGTGCTGGGGGTGGGAGCAGTGACAGTCACTGGGGACAGGGAGTTGTTAAATAGCCTGGAAGTGGTAGGCAAGGCCGAGGGACTCTTGGGGGGGCGAGGGGTTAGGGAGACACCCATCCTCCTAGAGTTCTGCCGGAGGGGGTTCCAGCTGGTCCACTAGGAGGATTTGAGGACTGGTACTGCCCCTAAGGTAAATTGAGTTTCAGACCCCTGTTCTATGGGCGGTAGGTACCATAGGCAAGGGAAGGCATTGCCTTCTCAAAACTGCCTACACTGTCTGGACACCCCGGAGAGCTGGGACCATAGTGTGACAGCCCCGCTCCCCAGCCACCAGGGAGGAGTAGAGCCATGGCAGTCTGGCTCTGCGGCTGCCAGGAAGGGCTAGGACTGCAGCACAACAACCTGGCCCTCTGGGTGGCGAAGAAGGATCAGGCTTGAGGACTTGGGTTGGGCCGGGTGTGGCTGAGGGGGGAGGTTGTTGAAGGGGCGTGGTCTTGAAAAAGGGGTGTGGCTTTGGGGGAAAGGGGTGGGGCTTGCCTTCCCCAGCTGGGCCTTCACCCGCCGCCCGTGCCCTGTTCTAATGTCCCCCCCTCGGATTGATGGCCACGGCCCATGAGGGACAAAGTAGCAGCTTTCCAGTGATATTCAGGGTGATCACTGACAGGGCAACACATGGGGAAGATTCTGTACTGGCTTATGCTGAGGATGAAGGGCTACTCAAAGCTCATTGAAGTCAATGAGAAAGGTTCCCATTGACTTCAGGGGCCTTGGGGATGAGGCTCCAAGAGAGGACTTCAGTCCCCCTGGGGCTGCCTGTTGGAACTACTTCACCAGCACTACAGTCCTCCCACAAATGATTTGCTTACTGCAGAGGAACTGTGGTCTGGGCAGCATTTCCCAACCCCCTGTCCGTGCACCAGCTCTGCAGATTTTGAGGGGGGTGGTCAGCTTTAACCAGGACTCCAGGGCGGCTATTGAAGCACTTTGAAAACTCTAATTTTCTGGCAGATCATTTAGCAATTAGCTGACAGGCGTCCTGCATCTAATTTCTATATACAGTAAAACTTGCGCTATCTGGAACTTAAGCATCTGGAAAACTGTACAAACTGGCAAATTTCTGATGCTGGGAAAAGCAAAACAAAACAAAAAAAAGGAAACAAAAGTGCTGGGCCGCTCCTCAGACGAGCATGCAGCACGTACCTGGGGGAGGGGCGAACGGCAGCCGGAAGCAAGCAGCAAGCATCTCGGCTCCCCCCATGGCTCCTGGCACCCCTGGCAAGCCAGCTCCCCCCCCGTCCC